AAAATAAACTTTTCTTATACTTCACTTAATTAATTGCATTTGCTTTTAGTCGTTACAAAGTAATTATTTCAGTGCAATAATTCTAAATAATATATTTAAATATATTTAAACAATATTATTTGAATAACGAATAATAGCAATATAATTTAATAATTATGGTTAAAAATATATTATTTTACCAGATAGTTTAATACATATATATTGTCGATCGTCCCCATTCCCCTCCTGAAACCCGTCTAATTGTGTGGCATTATTCCTTTACTCTCTATCTCCTCTCTTACTCTCTCCGCCAGTACTATCACATACGCCTTGTACAACGTCGGCATTAGCGTGACCCCCCTCCACCTTTCCTCCCTCCCTCTTTTTCACTATTGGCACTATTACCCCCTCTTTCCAAATTTCCGGCCATCGCTCCCCTTTTCACACCCTATTGCAAAATCCCCATACCCACTCCTCCAGTTCTTCCCCGCCATACTTCCATACTTCCGCTGGTATCTCATCTATTCCCTGCCGCCTTTCCGTCGCTTAGCGTTCTCAATGCTCTTTTTATCTCCTCTCTATCTAACTCCTCCTCCTCCTCCTTTCCTTCCCCTTGCTCCCTCCTCTCCCCCTCTCTAACCACCCTCCTCTCTACTCACCCTAATGTCCTCATGAAATGCTCCTTCCATTCTAGCATCCCTATTTCTTCATTCACTCTCTTTTTCCTCCTCCTCTCCCTATTTACAGTCTCCCACACCTCACTCTCTCTTCTCGCTTCTTCTGCTCGCTTTTCCCATCTTTTGTTATCCTCCTTCTTCTTCCTTTCACACAATTTTCCATACTCCCGTTTCTCTCTTTTATACCTCCCCCATCCCCCCTTTCCTCCTCTAGTCCCTTAGCTCCTTCTTTACCCGCTTCTTTTCTCTTACACATTCCTCATCCCACCATCCCTTTATCCTCTCTTCCCCCCTTTCCAACTCCTCTTCCGTCTCTTTCAGCGCCTCCTTTATCCTGCTCTCCAAATTGTCCCACTCCTCTCCCATCTCCTTCTCTTCTATCCGTGTCCTTCCCATTTTTTCCGAAAACTTCTCTCTTCCTTCTTGATCCCAGATCCCCCTTCTGCCCTTATCCCTTTCTTCTCTTTCTTTCCTCCTCTCCATCTCCCCCCTTACCCATAACTCCACCGGGTGGTGATCCGAGTCCACCCTGTCTCCTACCCTTATCTCCTCTATCCTGTCCCTAATCTCCCCTTCCCCTATTATATAATCGATTACTGTATTTCCCCTTCCTCCTGTGAATGTGTACTCTCCCTCCCAGTCCCCTTTTATACTCCCATTAAAAATCTCCCACTCTCTTTTCTTTATATATTCCACCAGTTTCTTTCCCTCTCCATTTATCTTCTTGTCTTTCAATCGTCTTTTTCCCATCTCCTCTTCCCCTTCCTCTTCTTCCCCTCTCACCCTTCCCCCCTCTCTACCCGTTCTTGCATTAAAATCCTCCCCTATTATCTCCCTTACCCCCTCTCCCCTATTTATCCTCTATCCATTCCTCTATCCCTTGCAACGTCCTTTCTATTCCTTCCCTCGCGTATACCTCTATTATCCTCCACCTCTTCCTACCTACTTTCACTTTTCCTACTACCATCCCTTCCTTTTCCACCTCTATTTTAGACCCCTTCTCCCACAAATCCTTTCTAATCCCCATCACCAATCCCCCTATCCCTATCTTTTTTTTACATTTCCTCTTTGCTAACCTCCCACTTATATTCTTTTGGGAGTTTTTCTTTTATTTTACTCCATCCCTTCTCATCCAGCCACGTCTCCAAGAAAATCGTCACGTTCCACTCCTTTAGGCTCCTCCAAAAATCCATGTCTTTCTTTCCCATCCCCGCTACATTCTAGAACGTCACCTTCCACCTTTTCCTCTTTTTTTTATTTCCTTCTCCCCTTCTCTTTTTTTTCTCTTCTCCCCCCCCTCTTATCTTATTTTCTCCTTCTTCTCTCCTCCTCCCTCTTCCCCCTGTCTCCCCTGTCTTATGTTTCCCTTCCCTTAGCATTTCCTCCTCCTCGTCCCACCTCCACCATTGTTCATCAATCCTCACCTTGCCGTATCCTATCCACACTTTTCTCCCCTCCCTTTCCTCCTTCCGTGCTATTTCCTCCTAGCCTCCATCTCATCCTTCTTTCTCCCCACGTCCAGTCTT